GGTATGCATCGATACACTACACCATGTATTGATGCATCCCTTGACAGGTGCATCGATGCACTACTTATGCATCGGTACATAAATCTCATTCGATGTTTGTATATTAAACAGGTGCATCGATGCAGTCCTTATGCATCGATGCATTAATGACATTCGATGTTCCTTATTTAAGAGTGCATCGATGCACACAACCTATAAATTGCATTTTAAGCCCGAAAATCATCAATTTTTCACTCAATTCCTCTATTTTAAACCCCTATTATGTCATTAAACCCAACCATCATTACTTAAACCAACTTATATCCATGAAAATCATCTTTAACCTCAAAATCATATCCTTCATATATAATTCAAGAATCATACCCAAATTTCAATATGTTCTAAATACACTTCTAACACGTTATATTCCTTGATTAAGTCGATGGCAAGTCAAATTCATCCTCCAATTTCAAATATGAACTCTATTTAAAAATTCCCTTTAAGAGCTCATAACTTTAATTCTTCCTAGACTCTTCATCTTGTTGTTTTACAACAACCTAAGCTTTCCTTAAGCTTAATTAGAATCTAAGGAGCAAAACCAACCTTAAATTTCAACTAACAAACAACTTATAAGAAATCTCACATTTGCTATGAGTTTTCACGTTGGGAGGAAAGAAGAGAATAAGAGAATTCTGGAAGCTTATGTTTTTCTTCCTTCTTCCACGTGTAGCTAAAATAAATATATCTATTCTTTAATTATTTCCTATGCAAATGACCATTTTACCCTTCTATTCATTCTTTCTTACAATTTAACACTATACCAATTATAATACTATTCAATTATTATTCTTTAGTCACCAAATTCTGAAGTTTTATAATTTAGTCACTAACCCAATATTGAGGATGTTACAAAAACGAAACCACTCGATAAAAACTTGGACAGATCTGAAAACAAAAAATCAAAATGTTAGTATAACAAAAACATGAAGTAATTACAAACTTCAATAAAAGGATCATAAGTTAACTAAAGACTCGAACTCATAATTTCCACCACAATGACAATGTGTAAACGACCTACAACCTGACTCTCTAAAAACGTCCCCAGCGGAGTCGCCAAGATGTCATAACCATTTTTAGGTGAAACCATTATTTATAGTTTTAAAAATGATCATAGCTTTAATTTGGAAGATTTGGCGCTTTTTGAATTGATTTGAATAAAAATGAAAATGGAGTCGCCATCGACCTTTAGATTAAGTAGGCTGAATACCCAAACGTCTTTTTAAAACAATTTTAAGGAAAAATCGTTTTTTAAGACTGAAGTGGTCTGCGTTTACCAAAGATTCGATTTGATAGGTTTGGGAGTCGGTTACGCGTAGGGAAGGATTAACACCCCACAACGCCCAAAAACTGGTACTGAATCGCTTACACGTTGTCAAAATGGTGGAAAATATAAATCGAATATAAAGTTAAGTATGATCTGTTTATCGAACATTGATTAATTTGTTTCAAATCAATTAATTAGAGAAAATTATTTAACTCGAAAAGAAATCTCAAATTAGCAATCATCTGTCGGAAAAGCTAACTCGATTATTTCTCATTTGTAAAGAATATTCCTATCAGGTTTAAAAATATAAATTGACAATCAACATTTGCGTGAAATTAAATTGCTATTTAGCAACATGCATCACATTGTTTAACTTAAAATAAAAGAATAAAATCAATTTTATTTCAAGTATACATTTGTTCGAACGTCGTATCGGATTACACAACTTCGATCAAGTGATGCTTTCTACGCCCATTCTACAAATCGTTATTCTTGACAATATTCGAGTGAGAGACATTGAAATTATAAAAATATTCATGATCTTACAAATATTAATTATGCAACCAGAAGACAAAGAAAATATATACAAATTTATATATATATAAAAACACAAATATAACAAGGGTAGAATAGATTTAATAAATATATGTATATAAGTATATAGGATACGATGTGTGCATGTAATGAAACAAATAACAAAAAAAGTATTACATGTGTACTTACACTCTATAACATATACATGGATATTATAACATGGACTGGAATGTAAATATACAAACATGGTAGATCATAATGAGAAAAAAATAAACTAGGTAAGCTTTATAAACATGTGACTAAATAGAGAAGATGAAAACTTTAAATGCCTAACAATTAACATAGCAGGAGTCATGATACAGATACAGATACAAATACCATATGGCAGGAGCATTGGAACGGTAATAAAAACAAAATTATATTTAGGACTAAAACAGAAATTATTAAAATCATGCACCAAATATATAAACAAGCAAAAGGACTAAAACATAATATAGGTAAAATGAGAAGGAAAAGTCAGAACTTCATAAATAATAGTCGACTCTAACACAAGGAAGCAAGAACTCAAAACCTTAAAAGGTAATTAACCCATTTTTATTCAACCTAAACTATCTCCTCTCATTTTCCCACGGCCACTCTTACAAAACAAAGGGAGAGAGCTCTCCCCAACCCTCACCACCGTTCTTTTCCTCCACCCCTATAGCCGCTGCAAAAGAAAATGGTTCAAAACGAAACCTCTCGGATCCCGAACCTAGAAACGACCCTTAAACAAAACTCATCTCCCTTCGATATAAAGTTTAGGAGCGTTACCCTCTAAGAACTTAAAGATGCTTGGCTCCGACGAGGAGGACCACGGTGGTCGGACAAAAAAAGGGTAAGCTTTCCACGGCCTCTCTAGTTTCTTCGTTCTTTTTTTGTTTCGAAAATCGTCTCCCTTTCTCTCTCGATTTCCTTTTCCCCCCCTTTTCGTTTTCTGACTTTTGTTGATATATAGTGTGGTGGCTTGCGTTTGAGGCTGCTGACGTGGAGATGGAAGCATGGGGGCATGGGCAGTCGTGGCTTTGGTGGAGCAGGCAACAGCGTGGGTGAGCAGAGTATGGGAAGCTGCACGGTATGGGGGTTGATGGTAGTGGTCGACCAACACAGGCATGAGAAACTGCACAGCTTTGGGAACAGCAAGGTATGGAGTAGTATGGGGGACAAAAATTGGTTATTACACTCATGGATAAAATTTAATACAGTAACGCATGCTTCCTTGACTTAATATGCAGGTTCAGAATGCAATCAGCTTGAACTAGATTGGCCTACAAGGCTTAAGATATGTATCGGTATAGCTAAAGGTCTGGCTTTTCTGCATCAAGAATCAAGACTCAATATTGTTCACAGAGACATTAAAGCTACTAACGTGCTTCTCGATAGTGACTTAAACCCTAAAATATCCGACTTTGGATTGGCTAGGCTCGATGAAGAGGAGAAGACCCACGTCACCACCTGAGTTGCCGGAACCATGTGAGTTCCTTACCTTTTAACTAACCAACGAACTTCAATACCTTTATACCTACTTTCTTTACATACGTAAAGACCATGCTTTGCTTAACACATCACCATTTTAATGTGCAGAGGATATATGGCACCAGAATATGCATTATGGGGCCACTTAACACATAAAGCAGATGTTTACAGTTTTGGAGTTCTTACAATGGAAGTTGTTAGTGGGAAGAATACCAATAACTTTATGCCAAGTGAGGAGTTTGTCTTTCTCTTGGATTGTGTACTTATCTTCTTTCTTCTTTTGTCGGACGACTTTTGTACTAGTTTGCAGATTTATCCTATACCGAAATATGACGATAAATCTATATATGCATCTGTATTGCAGGCATGCCATTTGCGAAAATCGGGAAACTTGACAGCACTTCTTGATGAGAGGTTAAGATCCAAAGTCAAAAACAAAGAAGTCGAGCTCATGGTAAAAGTAGCTCTGTTGTGTACAAATGCATCGGCATCACTTCGGCCTACGATGTCCGAGGTGGTAAACATGCTTGAAGGGTGAACAAGTGTTCCCGACTCGATACCTGAATAAGGCAGCTATACTGAAGATTTAAGGTTCAAGGCCATGAGAGATCATCTTCGACATAAGGAAGATCAAAGTTCGAGGGCAAGCCAAACCCAAAATTCAACTACTGTTCATTCCTTCTACTCTTCATCTACATCCTATAACACCAATGAAATCAAACCAGATTCAAGATTTTGTTAATAGTAGGGACCGACTCCTTTCCAGTTGAATGTTAGTTGAATGACTTTTCTCGCCAAGAGCTACCTGGATCTACAGGTCTGTTGACTGCAACAGTCCGGCAGCCCTTGGATTTGTAAATAGTTCCATATTTTTAGCATCACGTTTTGAATATGATTGGTTTAACATAAATTTATGGGTTTCAGTTGACAAATTAGATTCTTGTAATGTTCTTATTTTAATTTCTTTTTTCCACATCAATGAACATTAATATTGTAGTTGGTTTTCCTGGAAACTAGTCATTAGAAATGTAAGGAATCATGCTGTGTGTCAAAAGAAGAAATTTCAGAGAAATTCATTTCTGCATATCCTTTTTTTAACCTACTGCAAAAGATTCCATTGATTTGAAAATTGAAGTTAGATCTTTTCTGGGGGCCCATAATGATCAAATCAATGAAATTTTGTAGGTGAGAAAGGATATGCACTCAGGATGGATGTAGGATTTTAACTAAATTTAGAAATAAAATAATATATAAATGGTTAAATATAGTATCTTGGGTCTGCTGTACATGCTGTTCATGAGATTGCTGCACAACTTGGAAAGGATTAGAATTTCAGCGACAAACTTTGTTGTAAAAATCAATAAAGGTCAGGTGGTTTATGCCACCAAACGTGCTGCCGACGGCCATTAACAACTCTACCGGATCACTTGCAAAAGCTTATTCCCCATGGTAAGTGTCATATTCATGGCATTATCATATAGGCACGCGGTAATGGACTGGGAAAAGGCTTTCAATCTTTTGTAACAGTAGCCCACCAAGACAGTGCCTTAAAGTAGATATTAACTTCCGTTATGTCAGAAGTACTATTTTCCCACTTGACCCAAGTTGACCATAAAAAAGAAAAAAAATTGCCCAAGTTGACCCTCAATAATGGAACCTATGATTGTTCTTGAAACTCAGATAAGAAGGATATAGCGAAGAAAGTTGAGCATCTAAAACCAGGGGAAAAGAAGAAGAAGAAGAGCCATGGGAAGAATCACTAGCTTTCAAACCAGTTACATATTTGGCTTCTTTCTACTTCTCGTCTTCATGGCATCGAAGAACAAAGTTGAATCTCAAATGGAGCCACCTCGTCCTCCACATGATGAAAGTACGTTCATGTTTAAAATTCACTTAAAATATAATCTTTATCTTCTATTAGTTTGCATACCATGGTACTGAGTTTCTCCTTTTAGTTTGTGATTTTAACTACTTTCCATCATGGTTTCAATTAATGTGCCTATAACTCATTTAGTCAATTAATGTGCTTGTCTGTCTTTTACTGGATATGGCTTTCTCCCTGATATTTTCAACGTTATCCAATTTAGTAAAACTAAGGATTTCATTTATTATAAAATTTTCACCTTTCTAATTGCAACAAGGCTTGTTTGCTAAATAATGGGGTTTTCTTTTTCACCATGCAGTACAAGCTCTTCATGAGATAGCAGCAGAGCTTGGAAAGAAAGACTGGAATTTCAGTGAGAACCCTTGCAATAATAAGTCGAGCTGGTATACGCCTCCACTGCCATCCAACGTTCCTCGGCCAAGGGTGATGAAAAACAGCAGTGTCACCTGCAATTGCACCTTAAATGGTGGTCAATGCCACATTTATACCATGTATGTCTTCAATGATCGTAATAGAAACAAAAACCCTTATTTCATTTTCCTTGAATGTAGCTTTGTTTTTATATATTCAGAGATTTTGATCAGCTGAAATCGGAAATGTATCTAATAAGCTTTGATATTCTTATGAACAGCCGTCTCACAGAGCAGGATTTAAGTGGTGTTCTTCCACGCTCACTCGCGAAGCTACCCTACCTCAAAGACATGTAAGAGAGTAGCCAAGGTTACAATCATGGATTTAAACTGCGGTTGCGGTTGGGTTGCGTTTCCTGCAATTGCGGACATAACGGGTGCTATTGCGAGTATCGCAGCCATGCAATAACTGTTTCCGATGGCACCTTTACTGTTATATGGCAGGGCGCTATTTAAATCCCTGGTTATAGTTATTGTTATACATTGGCTCTTTAGAATGAGATTTTGGTTTTCAGTTCATGTAATGTAAAACTCCCTTTGTTCCTTTCAGTGTTCTCTTTAGGAACTTTCTCTCTGGTACGATACCTCGTGAATGGGCTACTATGAAGCTGGAGTTCGTGTAAGATACTCACTGAATGTAGATTATGGTTAGGAAGTGTAGAGAACCAAGCCAGTTTTGACTCGAAAGCTTTATGGTTTTATCCCACAAAAACATTTTTGTTGGAAAAAAACGGGAAGTTTTCGGACAAAATGGACAAGGCTGGGTGTGGCTTCCATAGAAATTGGCTGCCAAACTTTGAACTGAATGTGCATGAATTTATTTCAGGTCAATTTCTCAGAACCGCTTATCCGGGCCAGTTCCAAGCTATTTGGGGAACATTGCAACTCTTAGAGTTTTGTATAGTCCATCTTTCATACTTATCTTTCTCTTTGTTACTTCCCTTGTTCTTGCATATAATTTTGAGGTTTCTCATGGTATCACGTTTCAGGAGTCTTGAAGACAACCTGTTTTCTGGAACTATTCCCCCCGAACTGGGGAAACTGGTTAACATGGAAATTTTGTCAGTCTTTTTATTCACTTGTTACATATGCATAAATGATTAATTTAATGTAACCAGGAAAGCTTTGACCAAGTTAAGGATGGACTAATCTTCTTATTTGGTAAATGCAGCATTCTTAATGCTAATTATCTCACAGGAGAGTTGCCTACGGCCCTTGCCAATTTGGTCAGAATGAAGGAATTGTAAGTGGTTTTTAGAATCATCCATGATTATAATCTTATGAATGTATAATTGGCCAATTACTATTAATTTAAATATCGGGTTTTTTTTTCAGTCGGATTAGCAGTAATAACTTCACTGGAAAGTTACCCAACATTTTTCAAAATTGGAAGCAACTCCAGATATTGTAAGCTTCATTCTGTTTCAATTACATGTTGTGAGTCTTTCATTGAGAAATTTCCAATTTGAGTTGTTACACTGACAGAGAGATTCAAGCCGGTGGGTTTGAAGGGCCGATTCCTTCCAACTTAAGTCTGTCGAATGGCTTAGTTGAAATGTGAGTTTTTCTTTTTGATACCTTCTAGTACTTTTGGACATAATATTTGCAGCAGTGTCACGTTCTTTCAAAGTTCATATAAAAAATTCTTTATGTTGCAATCTTCTTCAGAAGAATCAGCGATTTACATGGAGAGGGTTCAAGATTTCCAAACCTAGAAAACAAGAAAAACTTAAGCAGATTGTAAGTAATTCCTTCTCTTGGGAAACTCTTCTTGGTCATATTAATCTCCACTGTAAGTAAATTGTTCTCAAATAAGGATGTTTTAATTGCAGGATGTTGAGGAGCTGTAATATATCTGGACCAATCCCACCATATATATGGGAAATGCCGTTGCAAACCATGTAATTACTCTTTTGTTTGATTTCAATTTGCATTCGTTACCTGCCTACGTATTTAGAAATTGAAATATCATTTTTCATTCTTGTGGATTTTAATAAACATTATTGAACTCAAAGCTTTAGAGCTTGGAGGATATATAAAAAATTTAACTTGCTCTCTACAATATTTGCTGTAATGTCCTCATTAGCTGCTATTAGAGAACTACAGAAAATATGTATATTATGATTTAGTTTAGTGCTTTCTTATGACTACACTCTGTTACCGCACTCATCTACATATTTCATAGATATCAGTTTGTTGGGTAAACCATCACTGCAGATTTTATCTTGGTAGTCATTGAATACCTGCTGACTTTGGTTTTTCTCCAGAGATCTAAGCTTCAACAAGTTGGAAGGGAACTTTTCTGGAAATGAAAAAGCATTACTCACGTAAGTAATGAGACTTTTCGAGGCGCATAATCATGAAACACTAAATCACATCTTTGAACTCAATGATATGGACAGTTGTGCTTGTTGTTCCTCATGAACTTAATACATTCACAAGTCTATCTATGTGACAAAGTCAATGTTAACAAAAAAGTTTTAGTTCTTTGGAACTTTTGATTCTTATGTTAGCATAATGTGAGAAATTGAGAGAATAAAACATGAACAAACTGAGAGAAAACTCCTAACCCAAGTTCTCATTGAAAAAAATAGAAAACACCATCTGGGTTTATAGGCTATGTATTACTAGTTGGTGTCCTTAAAGTTTCTTTTCTTCCTAACTTTTATCTCTTAAACTTTATCTTACCTCCTAAGGAACTTGATCTTAATCGTACAGTATAAATTATTAATAAATTAAACATCTAAGTGAAGTAAAATTCATACACTCCCCCTCAAGTTGGGATGTATATGTTATACAAACCCAACTTGGACTTGATTCCATCAAAGTTATCTCTTAGAAGGGCTTTAGCAAGAATATCCGTAAGCTGTATTTGAGTAGGAATGTAGCTCATTTTAACGGTCTCATTGCTGACGTTTTCTGAAATAAAGTGTGCCAATCTCACCATGCCTTATTCTGTCATGTTTAACACAATTTTTGTCAATGCTTATGATTGATTGATAGCCACTTTTTCACATTGAAATAATCCTTAGAGTCAACCTTGAATTCTTTTAACAATATTTGAATCCATATTCCTTCATAAATTCCCGAGTCAAGAGATTAAAATTTAGCGTATGCACTTCTTCTTGAAACCACAGATTGCTTTTTTGCTTCTCCATGTAACAAGATTACCCTAAACAATGGAGTAACTCTTCAACCCAACTTGGATCAATATACTTCTACCTCACGGTTTTTACTCCTTTTAAAGAGTAAATTGTGACCTAGTATCATCTTTAGGTATCTTAGGATTCAATTTATAGCCGCTAGATTCTTTTCTCGTGGATCATTCATATGTTAGCTAACGATACTCACTGAAAATGCAATGTTCGAACTTGTGTGTGGAAGATAGATTAGCTTATCCTCTAGTCTTTGATACTGCTCTTTTTCAACTGTCACTCCATCATTCTTCATTAATTTTATGTTAGTATTCACGAGAATTTTTGCTAGTTTTCACCCAAGCATTCCAATCTCGGTTAACAAGTTCAAAACATACTTTCTTTAAGAAATCAAAATATTTGTTTTAGATCGAGCAACCTCAATCTCTAGGAAGTATTTGAGATTACCAATATCTTTGATTTTAAAGTCAGTAGCAAGTCGACCTTTTAGCTTGATGATTCTTTTTGTCATAAGAGTGGTCTTCTTACCTTTTGATGAGGTTTTCACACATAAAATGTGATCTGCTTGACACTGATTGAATCCATAATTGACCACTACTCTGGTAAACCTATCAAACCATGCATGAGGAGGTTGTTTTAAATCATATAGTGATTTTGCAAGTCTGCACACTTTGTAAACATTAGCATAACTTTCTAGGATTGGAAGTATCTTCATGTAAACTTTTTCTTCAAGATCCTCATTTAAAATGCATTCTTGATGTCTAGTTGATATAATGGCCACTCTTCATTTACTGTCAAGGACAGCAGTACTCGACTGTGTTTAGTTTGGCAACAGGAGCAAATGTCTCCTAGTAATCAATCTCATATGACTGAGTGAATCCCTTTGCCACCAGTCTATCTTAAACCTTTCAACACTTCTGTTTGCTTTCTATTTGACTGTGAATATCCACTTGCAACTTATTGTTTTCTTGCCTTGTAGTTCTGTGAGAATCCACAAGCCATTACTTTCTAAGGCCTTAATCTCTTCTTCAAAAGTCTTTTTTCATGCTGGATAGTGCTTCCTGAACAGATTTTGAAGTCTATACGCTATCAAGTGATGTGCCGAATGCTCTGAATGATGGAAACAGTTTTTCGTAGGCTACATATCTCTCAGTAGATGATTAGTGCATTTTTGAACTATTTTTCTCTGAGCAATAGAAAACTCTTTTTGAACTCTTTTTCTCAGTGAAAAAAATAGAAAACACAACCTATTTTTATAGGCTAGACTTCTTTTATTTCTAATTTTTATTTCCTAAACTGAGTCTTATCTCCTAAGAAACTGAATCCTAATCGTACAATATAAATTATAAATAATTTAAACTTCTAAGTGAAATAAAATTCCTAATTGTCAACAACTTCTACACACTATTTCATCATTTATTCATTTATTCCCTTTGTGGTAGATTCTCAGTTTTGTACAAGCAGAAGTGCTTAATTGTGGTTTAATTATGTTTTTTTTTTATCTAATAGGTATTTGACAAGCAACTTACTCACTGGACCGATTACAGAATGGATAAATACGAGAGATAGCCATTAGTATGTCTTGCTGTCCTAATGTTCTTTTACAATTTTTTACTGATTTTACACGTTTTCAAGCTTATGATCATTGCAATACAGTCTTGGACCTCTAAGGCTCAACTACATGATATGAAGCCCTGTTATCGACTGAAAAAAAGATGTTGGTTTTGTGATCACAATATAACTAGAATCTAGTCCTATAAGAAATGTTGCATCAAAAATGTTAGACTGGTCCAAATATTACGAGCAGACATCGTCCGTGAAGTTTCTGGCAGATTGAATTACTGGTAACCCTCTCCAAGCCAATGGATCTGTAAAGGTTACATCAAATGTTAGGTGATTTAACAACCACATGCTGGTAGAATTTATATTTTGAATCCCAAGGTTAATTAAAAATAAACATAAGGAATTTACTTTTAAACTTTGTATGTACAAGTGATATCTTTTGTCCATTTTAGAGGCTGAATGGTAAAAAGCTTGGGAAAATGCCTAATGCTACAAAGATTCTTTGGCAGCTATCTCCTATCTGCAAAATCCTTCTATCTTCATATCAGTTATAATTGTTTTTAGTTCTGGAAAATATTAATGCCCATCAATGTGCCCCAAATCTTCGATTTATAGTTAGTTATAATACATATCTTGCATTTTTCAGTCAGATAGATCTGTCATACAATAATATCTCTTCAAGTTTGGAGCCAGTTCCTTGTACAGAACATCTGTAAGGAAAATCTTTCTTTTCCCTACCTTGGTAAAATACCATTTTCGAAAGGTGATGGTGACTGGTTTGTTTTTATCAGGAATTTGTTCAAAAGCTTTTCAGGAAGCAACAACTTGTAAGTGTATAACTTATTGACTGTGCAAATAGGCTACACACCTTTAGCTTTTCTTACTGTTTCCCCATTGGATCACTCTTTAACAAGTCTGATGATTCTTTGTCATACTTCTCTAATCCAGAGGTCGACAAGGTAACTGCCTGAAGAACTTTCCATGTTCTAAAGGTAATTTCTTTGGTTTAAAATGCAACTGTAGACTCTGAGAATGTTTCTTTAGAGAGAGCCTTCTGTGATTGAGAGGGGTTCTTGAAATAACATATCGTATTAGCCTGATCTCTATCAATGTATCACTCTAGATTGGTATTCGGTACATATAAATTGTGGTGGAGGATCAACAACAATTGGAGGCATCAATTATGACGGGGATGAAGATTTAGGAGGGCCTGCAAAATATTTTCCTCTCAGGGAGACTTGGGAAACAAGTAGCACTGGACACTTTTGGGATACCTCCGTAACATCGAAGGACTATATAGCACAAAACGTTTCCATTCTCAAGATGAACAACTCCGAACTATACACAAGAGCACGCCTGTCTCCTCTTTCTCTCACTTATTATATTCGCTGCTTAGCAAATGGAAGTTATACAGTCAAACTTCACTTTGCAGAGATAGTTATCAGGGACAATAGCTCCTTCCAAAGTCTTGGAAGGCGAGTGTTTAATGTTTATATCCAGGTTGGTAGTTATGTTATGCATGAGTACGCAATCTGCATGTTACTGGTAATGGTTTGATCGAATTTTTTGTTGCAGGAGAAACTTGAACTGAAGGATTTTAATATTAAAAATGCAGCAAAAGTTGCTGACACGGAATTAATTAGGAGTTTTAAAGCTCTTGTTACGGACAAAACTTTAAGCATAAGGTTTCACTGGGCTGGGAAGGGGACAACTTCTTCCCCCAAAAGAGGAGTATATGGTCCTTTAATATCAGCTATCTCAGTTGAATCGGGTAAGATCTGTATTCTAACCAGACCTTCATGTTTCTAGTTGCAAACTTATGACCATTCCTGCTCTATCTCCTAGCATTTCATTATTGTGGAACTTTATTAGTACTTTGGGGTTGATTGACATGACTGCATGTGGATAAATTGAGATGAGGAAACCAAATTTAGCATGAACTTGAGCAAATCGATGCAGCAACTTAACACATACGTCATGTTCTTTAACCGTTCCGTAATGTTCCATCTGCTAATTTCTTGAAATATTGAATCCATTTGGCATTCTATCAATAGATGCATATATTGTGTTACTTCAAGTTGAAGTGGTTTAAGAATCACCCTTTTTACTGTCCTCCTTTTCTTGTAGATTCGAAGCCTCAAGTCTCCAAGGAATGGAATATAAAGATGAAATTTGTGGTGGGAGCTGTAGTTTCTTCTTTGTGCCTCATTGTTTTGATCTTAGGCATTTTATGGAGGAGAGGCTATTTTGGGGGAGGCAAGATGTCAAGGGAACAAGGTGCTCTAGATAAACTTCAACGTAGATTCCTTTTTACAAGCACATAATTAGTCTGCGGTAACGTATTTGTACAAGGACATGCTTGAACGGCTTGCTTGCTGACTGTAATTCACCATGTTCCCTCTTCTCTTTCAAAGTACTGAGGGGGCTAGATCTGCAGGCCGGTTTTTTTACATTGAAACAAATGAAAGCGGCTGCTAACAACTTTCACCCTGCAAATAAGATTGGAGAAGGTGGTTTCGGATCTGTTTACAAGGTACTTCTCCTGTATCTCATGGTTTTTTCTTTTACTTGTTGAGATGCAAATGATTTTTATATCTGCACTGTAGGGTGTATTACTTGATGGTACAATTATCGCCATCAAACAACTTTCCACCATATCAAGGCAAGGAGACCGTGAATTTTTGAATGAACTTGGCATGATTTCTGGGTTACAACACCCTAATCTTGTCAGATTGTATGGATGTTGCATCGAAGGAACTAATTTGTTGTTGGTGTATGAATACATGGAAAATAATAGTCTTGCTCGTGCTTTGTCCGGTAAGCCAATACCGTTTTCCTCTAATTTTGCACCAGTTTCATAACAAATATATGAAGAAAAGCTATGGGAACTCCATATTTAGAGTGTTGCATTTGTCTGAGTGTTCTAATTGCAGATCCTAATGAAAGCCAGCTGAAATTGGACTGGCCAACTAGGCAGAAAATTTGTCTCGGCATTGCAAAAGGACTAGCTTTCCTACATGAGGAATCGAGTTTAAAAATTGTTCATAGGGATATCAAAGCAACCAATGTGCTACTTGATAGGGATCTCAATGCTAAAATTTCCGACTTTGGTTTGGCCAAGTTCGTCGAGGAGGAAAACACTCATATGAGCACTGCAGCCGCTGGAACCATGTGAGCTGCCTTTCTCCCCCGTTTTTCATTTAAAGGATCTACTTACCAAATCAGATATCATTAACCGCATAATCTAATGCGGAAAACAGCAAAGAAATTTTGATGTACTTGAGATTGTGCTTATAGATCCTATTTTTCAGAGGATACATGGCACCGGAATATGCATTGTGGGGCTACCTGACATATAAGGCAGATGTTTACAGCTTTGGGATTGTAACACTCGAAATCATTGCTGGAAAGAACAATTCAAAGCACCGATCGAAAGAGGGATATGTATGCCTTCAAGATTTGGTAAGATTTTATGTTGGATGTTTTAAATATAATGACATTCTCAGACTATCATTGAAGTTGAGACATCATGAACATGTCCATTGTCCACCTATGTATTACTATCATAATGCTTTCGTTAGTTTTCCATCTTAGCTCTTATACCATGGATATTTGCGCCCAAAAGTGTCTTTATTTTTTCTCGTAAGAGACTACTCACAAGTATGAGTTGAAGTCTCTTCGTATATACCGTAATGGATCGTTGGATCCTCATAGTTTCCATTATATGATTTTCTTCGATTTATAATCAGGCTCTCGTATTACAACAAACTGGGAAATTAATCGAGTTGGTGGATTCAAGGTTGGGGACCGAGTTCAATGAGGAAGACGCCATTAGAATGATAAAAGTAGCTTTATTATGCAGTAATTCATCACCAACACTAAGACCAATCATGTCCGAAGTGGTGAACATGCTCGAAGGTCGAACCCTAGTTCCTGAAGTGACCATGGATCCAAGTATTTTTCGTGACGAGGAGAGATTTGGAGTCCTGAGAGAGCAACTCCACCAAATACATCTAAATGGTATGACTAGTAGTCAGTCTTCAGATTCAGCACCTATGCTTCAAGGCCTGTGATAAGAATGTGGGATTGTGTTTCAATATGGTCAATCTTGTTTTAAGATCCATGGATGTTTTTATTAATTAAATTATGCATGTGGGTCATTTCAATACATTGTTCCGATCATCATATTGTTCCATGTAGGCTTTTGTCCAGATGCTCCAAGCTCCTAGTGATGATGCAGATGCAATAATCAAGGAAAGGTTTCCAGTTTCTAGACATGTTGTTTGTGAACACTATGGCTCACAGGTTAGTAGCTCTTGTTCTTAGTTTGTACGCTATGGTGTTTAAGTTGCAGATGAAGTCGAGGTTATGTATGAGATCGGTATCTAAACAATAACAAAACCGTCCTCATCCGTGTGAGCTATAGTGCTTGCTTGTTTCCAAAAGTAGGCTTTAAAATAACCTATATTGATCGAGTGGATATATATATATATGTGCAAGGACTACAAGTTGTTTAAAAGTTCAAAATAAGACAATTTGCCATGATTACTAATGTGTTTTGATTTCTACGTAGGAATATAGATATATTGATCGAGTTGAATAATGCATTGGATATTTAGATATTCTACGAAAAATTAAGATATCTGACGGATATTCGATTATTCCTAATCGAATTCGGATCATTATTTTAGTTATCTAAAATTTCGGATATTTGAATTTTCAGATTGGATTGAATATGATATCCGAATTTACACACCCTTAATCATACCAACGCAACTAGGAGATTTCAAGAATCTTGCTATATGAAAAGTAAAAAAAAAAATTAATAAACGTATTATTTTTCAAGTATAAACAACGTTGACTTTAAGGCCAATCAGAACAAAACACATGAGAAGAGAGAATGAAAACTTGAAATAGCACAAGTCTTTAACTTTTATAGAGTTAATGAGCAAACATCTAAGCATTTTTATTTCCCATAAGAAGAGAGCATTACCAACTTCAAAAGGGAACATTATAACAATAATAAAGCTAAACGCAAAATGTGTTTCCTATAACCAGCCTGAAAGCAAAACCATGTCCCTTTCCTGCTCTACACTGCAAAAACAGCGCGGCACTAAAAATCTACTATGGTCAGCAAGATTCCATACTACTTCGAAGTTCCAACCGGAGGATTGGCCTCCCTAATCAGCAGAAATAATAAACATTGTGCAAGTACCGAGGGAAACGATGCCATTTGGAAAAACGGTGAAAAAGAAAACAATTGGCCCATGAAACCTTCACGTTATTAGCACGACACTCTTAACCAACCGAGCTAATAGGCCACTGACTCTCCATGGACAAATTTGTTTATATCCCCATAATTAGTTGTTTATTTGGATGGATTTTATATTTTACATTATTTATATTGGATTGTCTGGGGGGGATAAAACACTCAAATAATAATAATAATAATAATAATAATAATAACACTAAAAGGAGGACTTGAACCTCAACCAACAAAATGGTTGTCTATACTGAAACATGGAATGTGTTTGATGGAAATTTCCAAATTCTGATTCATTTGAGTAAGCTAATGAATCTTATGAAGATTTTTGGTGGGTTTTAGGGATGGTCCAGAAGCTCAATCTTTCTGCCAAAAGCATGATAGAACCGACAAGATTCGTTTCTGCTTTTTCCTTCAATGGGTAATGAACTTCATTAATAATGCATGGCTTGGATGGGTTCTTTCAAGTCCTTCTATGATAAAAAAAATGTTGTTGAACACATTTTGAAAGATAAGCCGATAAACATAGTGTCACATAAATAATTTTATTATATTATATGTAGGTACGATAACAAATATAATCTTAAATAATATAAAAACATCAAAAATACAAAAAAAAATAAACATCATAATATAATTCGAGATCACATCAACATTACGTGACTCATATCCCTTTAACTTACAAATAAGAGAATCACATTTCTTTAACTCATAAACAAATAGAAGTGCACAAAGTATGTTAATACTAAAAAAGACCTCATATTATATAACCTTTGCAATTCAGTTTCAATACAGCAGCTTTGAAAATGTTTTCCTTATTAAAGCATGCATCGATGGAGTACTGTGTTGTCTTTTCACTCCATCTTGCTTTGAAATATGATCCTCTTCTTCTGCTCCCTCCATAATCACATCACTAGAGGAATTTGGACCATCAGTAACTGGAATTATCCCCCTCGCGCCGATAGCGGGAATATAGCTTGTACTGTCCCCGAAATCACAACTCAACCTTCCCGCATTGTCAGTCGAATCTCCCCCATCCCCTCTTCACGTAACCATGGACTTAGGGGTATAATTCTTTCTTCTCAGTGAAGCCCTTAAAGAGGCATTCCATTGGAAATTAAATTATTGGTTCTCTCGAAGAATACGCAGTGGGTATAAGCCCTCCCCATGACTTAGCTTACCACATAGAAAATAGAAAGTCTTCAATTTCTCCTATTGAAACGAAGCATATGTGAATTTCCCGTTCTGTAATGCCAACTTTTTCTTCCTATTCAATGGCTTATTAACGTCTAAACGAGCCCGGATCGAATACTACCTCTATATCCAATAGATATGGTTGTGGAATCATACTCCAAGAAAGTCCCCACAAAATTTCCCAGCAGTTTAGTGACATGTTCCGACACGAAACAAACTGGCAAATCGTTTGCTAAAACCTAGAAATCCACCGTCTGCAACTCCACTCCCATCGGGTCCTCTCCCTTTTGTGAACGATGCATGAGCAACATATGTGAGTTAAAAAACCAAGGCTCTTCCTTGTCAATTCGATTAACATCAACTTCATGATAAAGCCGAAACAAGTATCGGCCACCCCCAATTTTGTTATTGAGATACCTCCTATTGAATGCCATACATTAGCCAACATCGTTTTCATTTCCTGAAATTTAATATTCCCCTTAGTAAGAAAACATCCCCACCAAACAATTGTCAAACGATATAAGGCATTCAACATCCGTTTGATCAAGCGTCAGAACTTCCTCTTCTTCCTCCCTCAAATTTAAATCCTCCAAACCTCGTTACAGATCTCCCATGTGACACAGCAGAAACCAAAACACAGATCAGACGAAAAAAGACAGAACAAGAAACTGAGAACACTCCCTAGGAGAAACTGAAATAGCAAAGAAAGAAAACCGCATAACAAAACAATTAAAAACCCGAATCTTGGGCAAGGGGAAAATGCACTTTAAATCATTCTATATTTCAAAGTTAAATTATCATTTTATTTAAACTTAACATTAATCATCACTTATGTCACATCATATTAATACATAATACACATAGGTGTTTATATGGCAGTTAAATTCTTTTTTTTTTTTTTGATAGAACAGAAACAATTAATTCTTCATGTAGTGTTGCCAGAATTTTCGTCGAGGATTCCACAAACTCAATTCCTCCAATGTGTGCTCCACGACTCAAAGTTGCCACTCTATCAGCAGCAGCATTTTGATTTCAACGAACATGTATAAATTTTAACTCCCAATCACGATCTTGAATATTCGATATAGTAGCCACCAAAGCACTGTTCTCTAGGACATCAGATGAATTATTACAAATTCTTATAGCCTCAAGATTATCTGTCTCCATCACAATTCGTCTATATCCTAACCTCCAAGCATGGGGAAGTATGTCATGTATAGCCCAGAGTTCCGCATCAGAACCGAACATTTTCTCAAACTCCGAGTGAATCTGAAAATATAATCTTCGTTAGAATTCCATAATAAACCACCAGCAGTCACCATGTATGTTGTTGTTTGTTCTCACAACACCATACGAGTTGGCTTTAATCCAAACAACAGGGGGCACATCCATTCAGCAGTTAAATTCTTTTATGGTAGTTTTATGAACATAGGGGGTGAGCATTCAATCAAGTTGAGTCAATTCGAGTTGACGAGTCAAATTTTATAACTCAAACTTCATTTAAAAATTTTTGAGTCGAGTTTATAAAATGTGAGTTGAGTTGAGTTATTTGAGTCTTTAAATAAATTTAATTATAATCATATATAAAAAGAGGAATTGAATATACACATATATTCTAAAATGGTTTAGAAGCATGTGGTTCAAATTTGGTAAGAAAATTAAGTTAAAATTGAGGAGGAATTGAAGGAATTCGGAAATTAGGGGGCCAAACCATAAAACTATCAAAATATTCATCTAAATTTTAATTTTTTGAGTGACTCAAAAGTTTTAAATTTCAACTCGATTCGATATTTCAATTTGACTAAAATAGCTTGAAACTGTAAAAAAAATCAATTTTTGAGTCGAGTCGACCTTTACTCACCCCTAAACAAGGGTGTGATTAGCATATATTGATAGTTTGAGGATGAATCTGGATTGCTCATAAGCTTGAGGACTAGTTTAGACCGAGGGCCGTGATTTGGGCATAAAATTGGAATTTTCAAATGTTTAAGGACTAATTTAAAATGAAGATTATAGGTTAAGGACATATAATGTAATTAACTCATTCTAAAACTTAAAATTTTTATTTTGATTATCATCTATAATTGGGTTTGGTATTGGTAGCATCCCAACGCTGAGCATTTAATGACTCTTCTTAAATTTATGATTGTTGATTGTTTTTTTAAACATATATAAAAACATTTAAAATATATGAATAAAGTGTCGCCTATTATTTTAATTAAACTTTTGTATTTAAATATACTTTAAAAACAATGCCATTGTATAAATTCCACGAGTAAAATTTAGAGACAAATGATTTTTTTTTTTTTCAATTTAGTTTAAACATTACACTCATCTTTCCCTTTTCTAATAATTAGAACAAGAAGTACTAAAAAATATAAGTGGAGAAGTTCAAAAATCATACCTGGTTTAAAAAAGAAATAATCAAATAATAATTAGACAAAAAATAAATAAAAGGGGAAAATTAAATTACACGTGGAAATATACCGTAAGCCGCAAGTAAAGGAGAGAATAGATTACAGAAACTTTTGTTTTAGGCAGCCGAATTCAACTTGGACAACCAAAGCTAAAACTAATTATATAAATATATCAACCACACCTGAAGTATTTTATTTTTGAAATTGGTCGTAAGAAATGGCAATAAACTTCTTCTCCCCACGTTGTAGTTATAAGTATATTTGTTTTAAGTTTGGGTTGTTTTATATAGATCAGATTATTCCTTTATTTTATTTACTCGGTGATAGTATATATTTTGATGTTAATTCTCGTTTGTCATTTTTTTTATTTTTTATTTAATAAGAATAATTTTTTATTTGTGACATGTTTTTTTCTACGTTAATGAACATGGTTTTTATTTTCTTTCTCGATCGTTTGATTGTACTTTTATTTATATTTTCTTTAGGTGAGATTTGACGACGTTATGAAATAAATAACTTTATATTCAAATTTCAAAATCATCTTTGGTGAACTATCTTACTTTAATGTCAATTGATAAAAATAAAATTAGATTTAAATAATTGAATAAAGAAAAAAAAAACTTATAAAAAATGCTTAAAAGTCAATTCTTAAAAATTCTAAAAAGTAAGATAAAAATAAAAGTTCAATCGATGACAATTTTGATTTTTACTTAGTTTTAGAACTAAGAATCATTCTATTTTTATTTAATTTTTTTTTTCTATTTGATTTTACATTTACCATTAAAAGGTGACTAACTCAGAACAAAACGCTCACGCTATCAAACGAGCAAACAAAAGAAATATTTAACTTACACAAAAGTACAAAAACATGGGGAAGGAAACGTTAATGACGTCATCATCCCCCCCCCCCAAAAAATATTTCGTTAATATTATATTTGAAACGCAAACTCATATATTTAATTAGGGTAAAATATAAGTTTAGTACTTCAATCTTCACTTTTGTTTCATTTTGGTCATCTTAATTACTTTTTTGTGTTAAAATTATGCTTGATGTTATGTTTTAGTTTTATTTTAATAATTCACCGTTAAAACATTAATAATGGTGTGTCACATCATTTTTGAAAAAAAAATTAAAAAATTAAAAATTATCACATCAGTAGTTCTATTAATATTTTAATGATGTATGAACAAAATAAAATCAAAACGTTACGTTAAATATGATTTTGAAAAAATTAATAGAGTAACCAAAATAAAACAAAAGTGATAGTTCAAATACTAAACTTATAGTTTACCCATTTAATTAAGTATAGAATAATCTAATGAATTGGAAATATTTAAAAATTAGCAAGTATAAATATTTATATATTATTCTATATACTGACTTTTGTTAAAAAATAATATTGATATACTTATAAATACCTTTCCTTTTCATTTTTTGCTACTGTTCCATTCCTCTATCCTTTTTCCCTGATTCCTCTACAAATTTCTTCGATCTAAATAAAATATAATTTGAATTGGATCTGTTTTTCATGGCGAAGGAAGAATTCCAAGAGTCCGAGGTTTTGTTTTCCGACCAAAACAGCAACCATTACAGCACACGTGACGAGGATGCTGCTGCTGGTAAGGACGATGGTTACTTCGATTACCCTGGATTCAACAAAAACGGCCGTGTTTCAAGTAACTACAATTCCGACAAGAAGGCGGCCGCCAGTTCGCTTCCTGTAAACATTCCACGTCATCACGGCGGTGCTGCTCCTTTCCATTGCGGCGGCGAAGCTGTGGGATTCGAGGAATACGACGACGGCGAAATGGAGTCTCCCCATGCGGTTTTAGCGAGGAGAATTGCGAGGAAAATGGCGTTTTCGGTTTGTACGGGCAATGGAAGGACGCTTAAAGGAAGGGATTTGAGTCAAGTTCGAAACTCAGTTCTCAGAATGACTGGATTTTTGGAAGCATGACTCTTAGTAGTATTCATTTAAGAAGAAGAAAGAGATTGATTTCCTTCTGTATAATCTGGGTCCTTTCATGTTTTTCCACCTTGGGATTCTTAATTTATTCATTGTTACAGGAAAAAAAAGAATGCAATCAGAACAATTAATAAAATTTATCTTTTCTTAATTATCTGGTTTTTGTCTTTAGTTTCCGTGCAAAGCTTAAATTTCTTAGCTTTGACATTTTGTTTCAAGTAAACAGCCGCCGTCTCGCCGGAAAAACAACGCCGGTGTCAGAGATTTTTGTATTGACATTGAAGTTTTCCCCAAGGAGAACAGCCAATTTTTGTGGTGAGAGAGAGAGCTTTTTTGATAAGGGACATAAGTGGGTTCATGGGTTTAATGTGAGAAAAAGATCGTTGTTTTCATTAAAACACCTTGTTTTCTTTTTAGTTTCTCGTTATAAAGGCAGAGCCAGTTAGCTACATGTTTTAGATAATCTACTCTGCCTTCTTGTACCGGATAAGTTTGAGAATTGAGAGTATAAAACATTCCAATTTTATTATGTAATGACCCTTTTATTATTATTTTTCATTTCACATATTTGTTTAAAATTTTATAAATCAATTGATTGCAATATGCATATATTATTGCTCGAACCCAAGAGATTCAGGGAAAATAACAATTTCCTTCATCACTAAAATCTTTGGATGGGTTTTATATATAAAATATATTTTTAAAATATTTATTCAAAAAAATAATCAATTGATAACGCACGCATCATGTAAACGTAACTGCTCGAACTTGTGACTTTTAGAAAAAATATTTTATTTTATCATTGAAATCATTTGATGAGTTATTCGTAAAGTATTTATAAATGTCATGTTTTAATTATTTTTTAACGATATGGATAGGCTGTTGGGAGGATGGTTAGGCACAATAATTTGGACATGTGATTTCCAAGACATAAGCATAGTTTAGACGTTTTGTTTATGTTAATGATTAGTGTTAAGCACATTCCCCCTTGAAATGTATAACGAAAAACGTAAGAATTAGGCTCATTGGTGAGAGAGTAAAACAAATTGTGTATAGGAGACCGGAATTTTGGGATAGATGGAACCTTCCTGCTTCTTTGCAGCAATTTCGGGTAGGAAAAAGAAAAGGGTGGCGCTATAAATATAGATGAAACCTTTTATCGCATTCATGAGGAATAACGATAAAGCTTAAAGATGGCTACATGTGTTTTCTGTTCAAGTGTCCCGATTTCCAAGACCTTTTTATGAGATACAAATTTAACTGCTTTTCTCACCCACTTTCATGAATATTCACGAGAAGAGGTTATTCATTGCGCCAATAACGCTGAGGTGCTTCAAATTTTTATATTTTAAAAGGGGATATATTCCAATTTAAGTTTTTATCTTTATTATCAACGTTATTATAAAATCATTGACTCAATTAGTGTCACATATTGACTAAGTTAGAAAAATGATTAAAGGATAAATTATACCATCGGTCATTAAATAGCGATCAAGTTTTCTTTTGATCACTAAACTGTAAAATTCATAATTATAGTATTAAATTTTTTGAAATTGTGTTTTCTCACTCTATTATTAAACTTTTTATGTCATAATGATGTGATATTTTTATTTTCATTTTTCTAAATATCCTAACCTTTCTCTTGCGGTTGTTGATCATAAGTCGTGACACTACTAAAACTAAAATATTTTCATATAATCATCTTTAATGATTATCTGATAGTTAATTTTGAGATATTGTTATTCTTCTTTTTTAAATAAATATTTCTTATTTTTAAAATTTTAGACGAATACAGCAAACCCCTTAAAGCATACAAACTCACAACTCAAAAATAACCGTTGGATTTTGTGTTGAAGTTTTATGAGTTTTAAAAAAAATAAAAAATAAAAAGAGTAATAAAGGGAAATGATGTGAATTTATTAGTGTCTAAAGTGGCAAAAAATAATAATAATTTTGACGGTGTCTTAAAATAGGAAAAACTCCTAATAGGTTCTTTACAAAAGATATCGGGTATAAAAAGAGAAGTTATCACATATTGATGCGGTTGTCAAAACCGTAAAAAGTAAAATTTACTTCAAATAATTTGTAACATCCCAAACTATGGGTTAGTGACTAAATGGTAAAGTTTCAGAAATTTGGTGATTAAAGTAGAATAATGGATTAGTTCAATGATTTATCTGGAAATAAATCCTAAAAGTTGTTAGTAATTATCAAATGAAGTAGAGGGCAAAATGGTCATTTGACTAATAAATGAATTAAAAATAGATATGATAAGGATATATATGTTAGAGGGGATAAGGATGAAGAGATATTCTCTTCATCTTCTTCTTCTTCTTCTTCTTCATGTACGAGAGAGAGAAGAGTCAAACTTGCAAAGGCAAGATTCCTTGTTAGCTGATTATTTGTTAATTTTAAGAGTGGGTTTTGATCATTAGGTAATACTTAAGCTTATGGAAAGCTTAAGTTGTTCTAAAATCAAAAGATAAAGAAGTTATGAAAGATTAAAGAAAATGAGTTTTTAAAGGAAATTCTGGAAAAGAGTTAGTAAGTGAATTTTGAGAAGGAATTTGACTTGTCATCAATCTAATTAAGGAATATGGAGTGTTAGAATTAGATTTAAAACATGTTAAAAATCTGGTATGATTCTTGAAGTTAATAAAGATGAGAGAATATTAAGGTTTAAGATGAAATAAATGAGTATATATTGGTTTAAGTATGTGTACTAGAGTTAAGAAGGAAAAAGAGGATGAAACATGAAGGATTTAATCCAAAATGAATGGATTTTCGGGTTAAAAAGAGGTTCTGGGCAGAGTGCATCGATGCACATTCATAGTGCATCGATGCATCAATGTTAAAACCCAGAAATTGTTTGAATGTGCACCGATGCATTGGTAGTGCATCGATGCACTCTTTTAAAATAAAGACATCAAATGCAATTCATGCATCGATGCATAAGTAGTGCATCGATGCATCCCATTAATAATGAAACATCGAATACAATTGGTGCATCGATGCATAAGGAGTGCATCGATGCATCCCAGCAATAATATTACATCGAATACCTTTTATGCACCGATGCATCAGTAGTGCATCGATGCATACCTTCATTAAAAGATGAAATTGCCTTTTCTCTTAGTCTAAAGAGTGAACCATTAGAGTATATTAGTTATAATACTAATATAGATCTATGTATGATGATGTAGATATAGAACGTGATCCCGTTCCGGATCAATTGAAGGATTAGAATCGAATCAAAGCAAAGCTAAGGTGAGTGCAATTTTATTTGTACTTATATTATTTGAATAAACATTTGGCTTGCGATGAAGTGATGGAGTTACTATGGTAAGAAGTAACTCCTAAAATGTTATTTGATTGGTGATCAATGTTATGATTTGTGTGATTATGAGATATATAAGTTATATGGAAAGTATATGTGAAATAAGATATGAGCTTATATGAATATGTGATATGAATAAAGCTATAAGAAATGATTTATGTGAATACATGCATTTGTGATGCGTGTTATATGATATTAGATATATGTTTACACATACATATGGTATGTGACCGAAGAGAATGAACATGTGATTATAAGATCAATGATTACACGTACATTTGGTACGTGACTGAAAAGAAAAGATATATGTTCATAAGAAAAAGGATACGAATAAGTAAATTGAACTGTTATGAATGTTAATGCCCATGTTATGTGATAAGAGAGCTAGTGGTATAGTTGGCATGCCAAGGGTCGAGGGTTTACCTATGTTCTTCGGGACATATGGACTGTTTACCTATGTTCTTCGGGACATATGGACTATTTACCTATGTTCTTCGGGACATATGAACTGTTTACCTAGGTTTTTCGGAATCTATGGACTGGTCCTTCGGGACGAATACTGAACTAAGGTTCGGTGCCCCATGAGGGAATTGATACGAGCTGTGGTGACAGCATTGGTGCACAACCTCAATGTACTCACATACCTTAAGTTCTCAATAGTGTACATGAGCTAATAAAGAGATCAAACAAACATACTGAATGTGATATGTATACGATGGGTTTATAAATGGTTATCAAAGGTAAGTGGTTTGAAAGGTGTTACATGAACCATATGATGGTATATGTTTATGTATGATTTATGTTATATGAAATATTATATGTTTTATATGCCTCACTAAGTCTATGACTTAGCGTGTAAGTGATTTACACGTAGGTACCAAGAAACGAGAAGAGCAAGAATAGAAGTGGTAAAGACAGTATCATTACTAGAAGATCAGATCAGAAGTAATTGACAAAGTATGTACTTGGTTATGTATAGAATGTTGGCATGTAATAAGTGTTAATTACGAATACTCTGATCGATTTTGTATTTTATGGTCTTATGTAAATTAATGTATTTCGTTTTAATGAAAGTTTTAAAAATTCTCGGGATTTTCAATAAGAGTCAAAGTTTGAAAAGTCAATGTGACACATTGGACTTGTATTCGGGTCGGATATGAGTTAAGGGTGTTACATAATTTATAGTAGTGGTAAGCAAGGTTGGATGCATAGATAATGATGAGAGATTAATTTCATTAATAAACAAAAAAGTAAAATAAGAGGGACTTTGTATTTGTGTAAAGAAGTAAAAGAGAAGAAAACAAAGGAATTTAATATAGATATAGATTCTAATCAAGGTAAATCTTGGTGTTTTGATTCAAGACTTAAATCATTAATCTTCACAAAGATGAATATGTATCCATCTCAAATAGTTTGATTATAGGTTATTAGATAAAAGTACATGTATAACTAAATCTCTCTTAATTAATTAGTAATCACTTAAAAAAGCATGAATGATCACTTCTGTTATTATCATGATTAAAACTTTTAGAGAAAAACACATAAGAATTGAAACATAATAATAACTTTATCGGATTAAGATACCCAATGCACATAAACTATCAAAATATTAACCCGTTAACTTATCAAGAATATGAATCTATACATTTAAACCCGTTTTTTAGATTAATTACCACTTGTATCAAGAATCTTAGCATAAACTTGTAAATATATCACATATCGACCACTTAGTTATGTCGAACTCCAAGATCAAAAAGTCTTTATATTAATTGTAAAGGAGCTTGGGACAAGGTATAATGAGAATAAATTTTGACT